GTTTTTGTTGTGAATTATGTGTTAGTTTACATGGGTGAACATTATCTTTACATTCATCCTATCGTACTTTGTTTCATTTGCAATGATCACAATACCCTGCATGCATCATCAAACACCCAAAGGGTACACCCCACACTCCTGCCCCCGGCTGCCAGCACACAACCCCTCTCCCTCCCTGAATCCAGAGTCCCCAGCTGCTCCTTCTGTCCACGTCATTGCCTCTGCCTCCATCCCTAGTGTCACTGCCTTTCCGGACACGGTCTCGCACTTTGCTTTTCTCTCTTGGTCTCATCATACTGCTGGTTATCCAGGTCTCAATCCAGGTTAACAGGAGTCTGTTGAATGTGGTCGGACTTAGTTCACAACTTCATTGCTGTTTTTCCCCCTCTTCCCCTTATCGATGACCAACGTGGTCAGCAGCAAGACCATTTGCCTGCTAGTGTATTCCATTTGAGTTTCAGTCTTGTAAGGGGGTTTGCCTTGAGGGGACCTCACCACTTGCCGTGATAGCTCCCTGGAGAACAACTTGCTTGTTCTTGTAGTAGTCAATTGGACTGATGTTTTTTTTTTTTTTTACTGCTGGTCTTTCAAGAAGTATCTTCTGTTCTTCTAGCTGCTCTAGACTGGTCTTCTTGTCCTTTTACATGGGAATGTCCCACCTCAGAAGATTCTGGATGATGATCAAGATTCCACCTATGGTTTTGTGCAGTGCAAAGGTTCTGCAGGGAGCCTCCTTCACTGGGCAAGTTCTAGCCCCATTTTAGTTATTCCAAACAGTTATAGGTTGAAGATGGACTTATAAACTTTCTCTGGTGATGTTTCTGGCTATTCCTCTCTCTTCCCTTCAAGTGTCTATTTTACAATACTAGGCAAGGGGAACTAAGATTCAACAAACAGCCAAGCATCTTAACATCATTTCCCCACTTTTACCCATTAAAACCATGCAAGTACCTTTTTAAAATAACATAGAAGACAAATATACACATGGACTTTACCAGATGAAATACAGAGGAATCAAATTGACTTATCTCTGTGATGTGACAGTGGAAAAGCTCAAAATCTCAGCCCAAACAAAACCAGGGCAGACTGTGGATCAGATCATCAATTGCTCATATACGAGCTCAGGCTGAAGCTGAAGAAAATTAAGTAAAATGTTCACAAGAGCCAAAATACGACTTTGGACATATCCAACCTGAATTCATAAAATCTATCCCCAAAACAGATTTTATGCTTTACATACTAATGACCAAAGAGCTGAAGAGCTATGGAAGAACATCAAGAACATCAGACAGGAAAAAAGTAAAAGGTCATTTAAAAGATAGGAAAGAATGAAAAGAATGGGTGTCAGAAGAGACTAAAATTTCTCTCCTGTGTGGACATGCTGAAGTGAATGGAAGAAATGAGGAAGTTAAAGAGCTGAACAGAAAATTTCAAAGGGCGGCTCAATAAGACAAAATCAAGTATGACAATGAAATGTACAAATATCTGGAGTTAGAGAACCTGGTTACCATTTAATTCCTATCACTTAGTGCAAAGTACATTGCTTGGTAAAATGGAGGTCAGAGAAAAAGAAGAAGACCCCCAACAAGATGGATTGACACAGTCACAGCAGCAATGGTCTCAAACATAGCAATGATTCTGAGGTTGGCACAAGACCTGGCAATGTTTCGTTCTGTTGTGCATAGGGTCGCTATGAATCGGTACCAACACAATGACACCTAACAACAAGCTAAGTACATGGCACATAGCAGCTTCTTGGTAAATATTTCTTGAATGAATTATCTACATCTAAAATATGTATATATATATTTTTTTAACATTTTGATTAATTCTAATTCACGTAAGTTTATACTAAATTGTTGTCCATCTTGTTAAGTACCATCAAGTCAGTTCCAACTCTTAGCAGCCCTCTATCAGGTTTCTGAGGAATGGCTGGTGGGTTTGAATTGCCAGCTTTGTGTTTAGCAGACCAGTGATTATCCTGTAGTGCCACACTATAGCAAATGATATGAATTTAAAACCCTCATTATTTTTACTTGACTTTATAAAAAGGATTAAGTGTGTATGTATCATTCTTGGAGGATTAATGTTATCTTTTCATTTGTTGTTTCCTGTTTGTGTCCTTACAGATTTTTGTGATTTATAAAAACCCAACGTTTTTAGAGTATATAAAAAGCATAAAACGTGTATTTTTGGTTGGCTGTTCTTTAGAATGAAAGATTAAACTTTTAGATGAAAAGGATTGAACTTTTTTTTTTTTTTTTTTTTTATCATGATAGTGTTTTAAAGCATTCACTGGTTTAGAACCTGCTTATGCTCAATGAATCCTGATGAGTACAACGATAATGCTTTATATATATATATGTATATACTTTTATTTTTTCCTTTTCTCTTTTTGCCTTAGATTCCCAGGAGTGGAGTCTTGAAATAGAGTCTTCTTTTGATGTTGTCAGCTCAAAGTCAATTGGTGGTCAAGCAATTGTGGCAATCCCTAAATTGCAAACACAGCAGACATATTCCCTTGAACTTCAGCCTGGGGAAAGCACTGTTGAACTACTTGTGAAAATTAACAAGGTAAATGATGGTACGTCCAGAGGAGCACTGGATGAAAAGTAATACCTGTTCTGAAGAAATGGTTAGAAAGTAGGGACTGAGTAGTAGTTGTTGTGCTGCTGAGTTGTTCCCGACTCATAGCAACCCTGTATAGGGTTTCCAAGGAGCAGCTATAGATCTTGTGGTTTGCAGTCTAGTGTTGATTTTACAGCATGGACTGAGTAGGATAGAAAAAATCTTTATTTATTTTTTCATTTTTTTCTTCTATTTTTAACCTCTTATATTTTTCATATATATATGAGCTAAGAAATTATTTTCCCAAATTTTAAGATTAGGAAAATGAAGAAAATGTAATTAATTTGCCATTCTTTCCCCCTAAGACGTTAGTGTACACTATTGATTTTCTAAAATATTTACAATATCCTGTATCACTTAAAGTTGCTTAAATCCAAAATATATTTTAAGCAATGCTTTTAAATCGTAATGATTATTTTTGGTGTTTGTCAATTATTTTTAATTAGTGATTATTCTATTTGCAGAATTCTGATTCTAAACTCATAATCTTACATTGCTAGAGGTAGGCAGGATTTTACCATGTCTTTTTTTTTAATGTTTTATTGTGAATTATGGGATAGTGTACATAGGAGAACACTAGCTTTACATTAATCCTATTGAATATTATTTCATTGCCATGGTTACAATCCCCTCCATGCATCATCAACCAGCCAAAGGGTATACCCTGCAAGCCTGCCCCCTGGTCATCAGCACCTCTGGGTGCTCTCTCCCTCTCTGGGACTAGAGTCCCCAGCCGCTCCATCTCTTTGATTAATCATAACTGTGAACTGGAAAGAATGAGTATATCAATACTCATAATTGTCCAGAACCTAAAACAACTTCTTGGCTTGAAAGAAGTGTCAGCCTCAAACTCAAATTCTTCATATTAAGAATGTAGAATTGAACCCTGGTGTGGTGCTGTAAGATAAGTACTGGAATGGTAACCACAAGGTTGGCAGTTCAAACCCACCAGCTGCTCTCATAAACCATATACAGGGTCACTATGAATCAAAATGGATGCAGCAGCACACAACAACAACAACAACAACAACAAATGTAGAATAAAAGTAAGCTCAAAGTGTTAGACATAGGAGCAGTTTTTCTAAACACCCATGTTATTCTTTTCCTTTTCCTTTTGGTATATATTGTTGTTGTTCTTAAGTGCTGTTGAGTCAGTTCCAACTCATAGCAACCCTGTATAGGGTTTCCAAGGAGTGGCTGGTGAATTTGAACTACCCGCTTTTTGGTTCAAACTGGTGTTTCGGTCCAGTGCATTATCCCACAGCACCACACCAGGACTCCTTTGGTATATTAATCTACACTAAACTCCTAGCATGTTGATTTTTAAATGTTATCTATAGATTGGTATGGTTTGGCATATTTTAAAACCCAGAATTTCTGGGCTTGTCTACATGAGAAATTGATAAAAGCCTCTGAATCATTATATTATTTGGCTGAAAGTCTGTCACAGATTACTTAGAATGACTTATTTATTAACAGAATGTTTCTGTAGAAACTTGGTGGCCTCATGGACATGGACATCAGACAGGGTACAATATGACAATTCTTTTTAAACTTGACGGAGACTTAAATATTGAAAAATCAGCTAAGGTAAGCAGGTATTTTAAAATATTTTGTTAAAAATCTTTATTTGTTGTTACACTAGCATTATAGATCTTTGTAGATAATGAAGGAAACAACAAAACTTGTATAACCAGAGATAATTACTATTAACAGTTATATGTCTACAAAAGCTTATGTATTTGTACATATTTATATTTTTAAATGTAATCCTAGCCATTATCAGAGGAAGCTGAATTACTGCATTCTTATTTTGATTCTCTCTTTGTACTAGTCTTGTAATCATTACTCACATCTTTCTCAGATTTGCTCACTAATCTGATGGTTTAGGACCCCATCAGTGATTGACACATGGCATTTGGTTGTTATGTCTTTTTAACCTACAACTCCTTCATCACTTTTGTTTGATTTTGCTTTTTTATGATATTCACTTTGTAGAGTCTAGCACAATTTTTGTAGACTACCCCATTTTCTGGAGTCCTGGTGTGGTACTGTAGGATAAGCAAGCACTGGACTGCTAACCATAAGGTCAGCAGCAGCAGTTCAAACCCACCAGCCACTCCTTAGAAACCTCATACAATGTCACTATGAGTGGGAACCAACTGGACGTCACTTAACAAGAACGTCTCTCTTTCTGGACTTTTTTGATTATTTCCTAGTAGTCCTTTCACTTATTCCTCTCTCTTGGTGGCAGAGGAAATGGTTTTCTAATGAAATATTGTCCTAGCTCCTTTACAGACCCCAATTTACATTCAAACCATTACTGTGTAAATAACAAGTGATTCCTACCTATATGTTTTTTTTAAAAACTGTGACTCCAAGGGCTGGAAAGTGAAGCTTTTATTTATTTATTTAATTAATTTTTTTACAACAATATAACAACAACAACAATAATAAAAATTCCTATTTTTACCTTCTTCTCCAATCCTGACTGCTTGTTGCTTGGTTTTGTCTTCACTACCACACACATTCTGATGGGGATTTATGGGCAGCTACAAGATTAACCAGCAAACACCTGTCAGGACTTGCTGTCCATGACAAGTGATGCTAGGAGATGGTCTGTTGGGATTCTGGGAAGTGGAAAGAGTCCTGTCCCTTAGAAATAGCTGAGCCTGGAAACAGATATGGGAGGCTGTATTAACTGTTGCTGTAGAATCACTTCCAACTCATAGCAACCCAATAGGACAGAGTAGAACTGCCTCATAGTGTTTTCAAGGCTGTGATTTTTATGAAGGCAGACCACCACATCTTTCTTCAGTAGAGCAGCTGGAGGCTTTGAACTGCTGATCTTTCATTTAGCAATCAGTGTGTTACCAGATCACCTTGAAGATATGTGCAGTTGTTGTTAGGTACTAGTGAGTCAGTTCCAACTCCTAGTGACCTAGTATAGGGTTTCCAAGGAGCGGCTGGTGAGTTTGAACTGCTGACTTTATGGTTAGCAGTCCAGTGCTTATCTTACAGTGCCACACCAGGACTCCAGAAGATATATAGACTATTTGAATTTCATGATAAACAAAGGTTGTGATGGGTCTTAGTGCAGCGCTGTGAGTTGATACAGCTCTTTTAGTCAGTCTTTGTAACTTCCACCAAATGACTTGGCTGTTTGTTGTTGTAATTGTGTGCCATCCAGTTAGTTTTAACTCATACATAAAAACCTGTATAGGGTTTCTGAGAGAAGCTGGTGGATTTGAATGTCCAACCTTGCAGTTAGCAGTGCAAGTACTTATTTTACAGTATTACACTAAGGCTCGATGACTGGGTAGAACATGCAAATATGAGGTGTTTGTGACTGTCTGAGGGGATTGGGTAGCTTGCTAATAATGTAAATAATGTAAATAATGTAAATGACACTCAGGTGTGGTGGGACCATGCAAATAAGGTGTATGGAACCCTAATGCAGGAATTGGTCACTTTAGCTAACCTGCTAGGTTTTAAATGAGCAATCTGAGAAGTGGAAAGTGGGGAATCTCATTGTCATTAAGAAGGAACAGCCTGGAGTGAAACAAGACATTTGAATCCTGAGCGCTCTGTGTGCTGAACTTCCTTAATAGAAGAGAAAGAGAGTTGTGACACTAGAGACAGTGAGAGACATGGCAGTGATATGACAGAGATGCCATGATAGCAGAGACAGCAGAACCAAGTACATGAGACAGAGTGGTGGGCTGCTCAATCCATGGAGTGAGATAGCTGGGTACCTTCAATCAGGAGGATTGCTAGTGGACTGGGTTGCTTCCAGGCAGTTAATTGGGGAAACAAAATTTGCCAACCCCATAGCTAGAGCTGTGCATCTTCTGGTTGAGGTTTACTCGTAGAATGGACACCTAAGCGGCAGAGTTACACTTGCCCAAGCAGGGTAGAGGCCAAGGGCCTTTGGACTGAGTGAGAGCTAAAGAAGGCAGAGGCCAAAGGGCCATGTGGTCGAGAGATCAAGGTCCACAGAGAGATGTGCCTGTAAATATGACTGAGGAGAGGCTATCCTGATTGAATAACTGTATCTTGAGTGTTTCTGATCATGAATTGAACCTGTTAACATCCCCAAACAGACCCCATAATTATGAATATTGTCTGTGAGTTCCCTGTGGCCATTATAACAGATTATTGAACCCTTCAGAGCAACAGTGTAGAGAGTGACTGACCTCCGTCTTATAAGAATCAGCCTCGGGCTGATGCTGAATTTGATTCTCTTTCCTCTTTTACATTTAGTTACTTTTTGCTTCTTTATTTTTTTGTTGTTGTTAAGTGCCATTGAGTTGATTCTGACTCATAGCAGCCCTGTATAAAGTTTGAACCACTGACCTTATGGATCAAACTGACCTTGTGGTCCAGTGCTTTATCCCATAGTGTCACACCAGGACTCTGTTCCTTTGTTTGGCAGATATTTCAGCATCTAATATGACCAAAGTAAGATGGTATGCTAAGATTATGGTTGTTTGCCAACTGTTCTTGTTGTTTTAGTTAGCTGCCATCGAGATGGTACAGATTCATAGCGACCCTATGCACAACAGAACGAAATATTGCCTTGGTCCTGAGCCAACCTCACAATTGTTGCCATGCTTGAGCCAATTGATGCTGCCACTTTGCCAATCCATCTCACTAGGGGATCTTCTTCTTTTTCTCTGACCTTCCACCTTACCAAACATGATATCCTTCTCCAATGACTGGTCCCTCCTGACAATATGTCTAAAGTATGAGAGATGAAGTTTCGTCATCCTGGCCTTCAAGGAGCACTCTGGCTGCACATCTTCCAAAATGGATCTTAGGCAGCCCATGGCGCTTTAAATATTCTCCTCCAACACTATAACTCAAAAGCATCAATTCTTCTACAGTCTTCCTTATTCACTGCCCAACTTTTGCATGCATATGAGTTTATTGAAAATACCATGGCTTTGGTCAGGCATACCTTAGTCTTCAAGCTGACATCTTTGCTTTGCAACACTTTAAAAAGTCTTGTGCAGCAGATTTGCCTAATGTAATACATCATCTGGTTTCTTGACTGCTGCTTCCATGAGTGTTGGTAGTTGATCCAAGAAGTATGAAGTCCTTGACAAACTTCAATCTTTTCTCCCTTGATAAGAATGTTGTTTATTGGTCCAGTGGTGAGGATTTTTGTTTTCTTGACATTGAGATGTAATCCATACTGAAGGCTGTGTTCTTTGATTTTCAT